TGTTGTTACTAATGAACGATAAAGGACAAAGTCTTCGCCAATGATCATCCCCTTGTGTCAGATGCAGCACGCATCCTACTTCCATTTCAAATCGTAGTGGCTTCTTAAATGCGACTTGGCCTATACAATTAATTGTGGAGAACAACCGATGTAGTGTAGTGATGTAGCGAAGTCAATGTTCTTATCCTCCGAGACGAATCTGGTGCCAATTCACCGTCCACGGAGGGATAGAAGGCTTGGTTGGCCTGGGCGGGAGTCGACCCGGGATTCGAACCCACGACCGCGCGAGTGGTAGGCGCGCCACTTGTCACTTCACCATCGCCTCGCTGTTGCTAATTTGGAAGGATAATGCGTTCGCATCCATAGTGTAGTTCCCTTCCCATAGCGTTTTCCTTCTCACATTCTTAGTCACGTGGCGCCCTTCCTTGAATGCGCCGTGTATAAAATATTTCCACAAATATAGGATTTTGTAATGGTTATCATCAAGATTGGAATTTGGGTCGAATTTTGTGTGAAGATCAAAGGCAGACCCCACAGTTAACCAATTTGTGGACTTTCTCCCTTGTCCAAGTGGTCCAGCCTGCAATCTCAGATACTCTCCCACTTTAGCGACTCTACAAATGACGAAGGTGCTGTAACTGTTGTATGTTTAAGCACGGTCAGTTGGACCGCGTTCATACAAACGTCCTCTCTACAGTTAACGCAGAGGCGCTCAGTTGTTGTTTGATGGCGCAGCGGGCATAATTCCGCATTGCGTGTCTAATTTTGCTGAGTTGCTTTGCTCATGAATAGATCTGCCCCTTTTTCTTACGTTTTTCATTAGGAGCACATACAAAAGCGACCCATCTCGCGAGGAAAGTGGTCGAGGGCCTGTCGGTGGTTGTATGTCATGTTTAGGAGAGCTTACATGAAGGGATGCTGCTATGCAGGCACATCATATATGGGCGTTTCGCTGCAGAGAAGAGGGGTGTCAGGGGGGGACTGGGTTCAGCGCTGCGCCAGATCTCTTGCGGCCAATTATTATAGGTTGCGTATAAACTTTAAAAGTTGGCGCATACGGGCAGACGTCGCATCAAAGTCAGGCTGCCTGACAGCCCAGAGTCTGCAACGACTGAACTCTCATGTTGAAGCGATGACAGAACAAAGGGGTTCCCTAGTGCGAGCTGATAACTGCTAAACACGAATAAGACGATAATATTGAGCATTCTATCCTTCTTTGATACTATGAAAAGTTTTTCAGGACGGACCAATATATACAATGAGGGCCATATTCCCGGTAGTCAGCTGCTTCTTTTCCTACGTCAATGCATGGATGATACTCTGTCTGAATGACGATATAAGACGGAAAGTGCTATCACTCATCGGGATTCCGTAATTAGAAAAATACCAGTGAGTCTGGAAAATACTAGCTCAGTTCCACAAAAAAAATCAAAGCAGTGCTATGGCATTGTGAAAGCTCACGTTCGACGAACAGCTCTTGAAGACAATCTGTATCCTCCTGTGGGTCCTGGCACTCGCCATAGTCGAGGTGAATGGGTCAGCTGCTGCAGTAGAGTGCCACTTTTTCCGGCCAAAAGTGCTCGTTAACGAGTGCAGGTTTTGGTAACCACGTGAAGTCTCCCCACCATGCTGTCGCACTATTAGCCACACGCATGAACATGGGACAACGCTCTGCTTGCCTGCGCTCCCAATTCTGGTTGTTCTCTACCTCCGACTGCGCTGCGAGCTTTTGGTAGTATCAACGCAACTGCTGTATACGCAGGCGAAGTCGGGAGACGGCACTAGGTTATCACTTCCCTTCAGCGCTCTCACGTAGATTTTTGAGCAGTCGAGTGGCACGCCACTAAAACTGCGAAGCGGTTGACTTCGCAGATGGCAATGATTGTCCTCAGAAGCGAGTGTACAGTGCGTCTTCCAGTTAAGCTTCTTTGTATTCTGAGCATGGAAACGTTGCTGTCAGTGGTGAACTTCTTCGCTTGCTCAGGAAACTGCACTGAAGCAAGTATAGTGTATAGTAAGTAGAATTACTGTACCAGCGTTCTGTCGTTGGCTACGCAGGGTTTCGGCTGCATATGTTCTAAAAAATTATAGGCAAATGAACATGGAATAGATAGCATAGGAATATTTCATGCTATCTACCGATTTAAACTGTCAGGGGAGGGGAGCGCAGGTATGCGTCATTGATACGAGTTTCCCCTAACGCTGCTGCTCATGCGTATGACTTGGGATAGACCAAGATATATCAAATAAATAAATATCCAAAATACATGGCAGTGAGGGCTCAATGTGCCAAAATCATACAGGAAACGCATAGAAATCTTGCGAGGTTGTCAGCAATAGTTTGCACTTTGTAGCTTCCGTTCTTCTATCTTAGAGGCGAAGCTCCAAAGGCTTGTCTGACGTGGAGCTGTACGAGGCCCGTGCAGCTTTGACCATATCATTTTCAGGGTTCTTCGTTCATGTCGACTTCGGTGAAAGCAATTGCTATCGGCACAGTATCGAGGATATCATGATTCAGTTGCTGTCAAATGCCTGAGTGTTTCGCCAGAAAGCTGCAACGTTCCCAAAAAAACTACCACACCTCGTTATGACATGCTAAGTTGGCGGGAGAGTTGCGCCATACTGTTGCACACTTAGCTCTTGCCCTCAATTCAAAATGCTCCCAACAATGATGCCAAGAATAATACCGGAAGTAATATTCCTCCTAAGAACAAGTCCGTTGAACTTTTTAGCAGCTGTCCCATCTCGCAGTTTCCTTCTTCCATTCCGGCTCAACTACGAAACATATCGAGGTCAATAAGAAGCAGTAAGGGCCGAGATGTGTAAGAAGCACGCCCTAGTTGCCTGATCATCATCAATGCTCCTCCAATTGGGCCTCATTCTCGAAGTGAAGCGTGTACGATCATTCTTACCTAGCTCAAGTGAGCTAGTGGTTGCCATTTGAGTGATGAAACTCCTAGCGTGTATGGTCCACCAGCTTTAAGGTCTAAAGCCATGCGTCGACTGGAGGGCAGAAGCCATCCACAAAGTACAAATTCAACAGCAATGCAACTCCGCGTCTTGCAGCAAACGTTAAACGGAAACGCATACAATATGACTAGATGCCTCTTATTTAGCATCTGTATGCTCCTTTCCATATTATCTGTTTCTTATTGGCTCCTCACGTGGATGCGAATAAAGATTCACGATCCGAGCCGGGCTCAAAATCGAGCAAATGTACTACTATATGTTGCACTTACCTGCATTTTACAGCAACTTTGCACGTAAGTCTTTGTAACCTGGTCAAAATTCCTAAGTTATAACTAGCGACTGCAACTAGGGAAGTGGATCTGATGATCTGAAGAATTCGATCTCACGAGATGTGGCTAAACTTCGCGCCAACTCATTCTGTTGATACCTACACTTAAACTACCTCTTGAAGATGTGTTCTTGTTCATTGCAGTGCTGCTCTCATTTCACAGAGTAACCAAAAATAGAGCTGTTCTGATAATAAAGCGTAGTGTTGAAAATTTCCTTTGTCATAAAAAATTTTCCTACTGAATGACGCTGACTGTTTAAATAAAGGCCTTATTGTATCTAACACTCCATCGCTGAGATGGGAGCGCGTGATAACGTACTTCACCTAAACATGCACAATGCCTTCTTTAGTTGTCGATTGTTTTGCTGAGGTTGCCATACAAGGAGCTCCAGGGAGTTTGACGTAATGCTGTTCTGGATCTCGCAACGACAAATATGTCGTCTGCGTATAGGCCGTAAAACAGCATGATGATAGCGAATGCCGTTGATAAAAAAAATGAAATGAAATGAATGAATGATAGCCTTGCAACGATCCATGAATAGGATTGCTAATGTGTATAAGTGTGAAGTACGTGTATAAGGACAATTGTTCATCTAAAGGCAGCTCTTCTGCAGAGATTGAAATTGCTGGATTCTACTTATTGCTTGTCACCGAGGGAAATGCGACACTCTCCGTTCCGAAATACGTTCATAGCGAACAAGCAACCTTACCACGACAATGACGCTTCAAGGCGGGAGCCTGGGGAGCCTACAGTTTTGATGACGAAGTGAGGTTTGGGTTACCTGCAAACTCAGCTTGAGGGAGCTATGGGTCGGGAA